CCACTACCCCCGAAGCCACTAAATCCACCTCCACTATATCCACCACCACCAAAACTACCTCCACCAAAGCCAGCTCCATAACCACCTCCCATTCCCCCAAAACCACCTCCACCTGATCCAAATACTCCTCCCATACTTCCACAGCCCATTCCTCCTCCATAACTACCACCACTCATTCTTCCACCATAGCTACTGCGGCTAATCCTTCCGCAACTGCCACTGCTAAAGCCTCCTCCATAGTTGCTCCTGGAAACTCCTCCACCAAAGCTTCTCCCAGAAAAGCCTCCGCTTCCTCCAGAAGAGGTGTATTTTCTAGTGGACACTGAGGAGTATCCACCAGACTTGCGTACTCCACAGCTGCCACCCCCTCCACCACCACCACCACCACTACCACCACCTCCACTGCTAATTCTAGTGGAACTAGTCGAAGACTTAGTGCCACAGCTCATAGTGACAGCAGGTAGGAGTCTAACCACAATCCCAAATTTAGGTGCACAGCCTGATAAGATTCAGGACTGCAAATTTTCATCCTCAGCTCTCTCTATTTATACTTTTGACAGTGGGTGTCACCATCAGGGTGTTTCCTTCTCCCAGGGCATTTACATTTGTTTGTGCCAAGAATAATTTGCTGAACAATATTTTTGTGCTGATATCTCAGGCAATCTAGCCCACTGCTGGGTTTATGGTATTTATTTAAGGCCGAACACTTAATTTCTTTAGGGTGGCATTCTTTTCATTTAGCTTTTTCTGGAATAGGTACTCTTTTGCCTCATGCAGCCTGGATCTGCTTTACGATGGAAAACCCACTTTATACAGGCTCCTGTTGAAGCTAATGTTGAGATAACGTGTACCTGATGGAACTACACAGAGAGAATTTTTGTTCTCAGTTCTTCCCTAAAAGAAAGAAGATGGAGCCCAGATCTCTCTTGTTAGACTGCGTATTTATTTGTTCCATTCTTAATCTACTTCTCAGATTTTTGTAGCTGCCGCTGTCAAAGACTGTTGTTCTCTTTTGCTCTTTCATATTTTGTGCATTTAAGATCTTCTACACTGCTTATATTCTTTTTCTCACTATATGTGATAGTGCAAGAGTTTTATTAATAGGACTGTATAACTTGTATATTTAGATTGCCCGACTTACACCCTTCCGTCACTTAGAGAGCATATTTATTTATATGCGAAGTCTATTTCAAGCGATGCAGTGGGATTCTTATTTAAAAATCAAAATCCTTCCTTTGTGAAGAAAGTGATAGCACAGCACACTAGATAGCTGAGTCCTAGAATTCCAAGAGAAAAAAAAGATTGGATTTTTTTCACTGAAGAGCTGTTGATCTAAAATAGTAGGAAGGTTAAGGATACTTTGTATTATATTGTATTGTATTGTATTGTATTATAAAGTCAATTGTGGCACAATTAGAAGCTGTATTAATGCAGACAATGACCTATTAAGTACTGTGTGGGAAGACCTTTTATGATTTAATATAAAACTGCTCATTCTGTCTGTTGTTACTGTGTCATATATTACAGGTGATGGAATAATTATATATACTGCTCTTAATGCAGAGATCCTTAAGAGTCTAAAATAGTATCCTGAGAGAAAGACTGAAAGGCTTTTTACACAAATCGGTTGAAATCAGACTGTTGAGACCACAAAAGAAATTACGACCAACTTCAGTCTTGCACTGATCCCCAGAAGTTTACCCAAGATGGACTTGTAAATGGTTTTCATCCGCAATTGTTAGATTTGATGCTAAAGCAGAGGATCTGAAGACAGAATTGCACGTTTCTGAAAAATCTGTAAGAAGAATCTGAGTTTGGGCAAACAGTGCTGGCTGACTCTTTGATTCCAGATGACTATCATCTGCAAAAATACGCTCAGGTTATAATGTTTCATGTTTGTCCTGGGTGAAAACTAAATATTCTGGTTCAAATACAGAATCTCATTTCCTCAGCATCCACTTAGCTCATAAAAGTACTGCAGGCTTTTATGAGACATTTACATCTTTTTTTTTTAATACAGTAGAGACTTCATTCATGCAAACAGCCAGTCCCTACCGCTTAATTGCAAACAACAGCAAAACCATCAGCATTTGTGGTCTTGCTGTAGATGGACCCCAAATTGTTACAGTTTGCTCTGAAGAAAGTGTACATGTTTCCAGTGACAGTGGTTTTCTGTGTTACTGAAACATCTTCATTGCTTTTCCTCCTCTCTGTTTGGTTACTGATCCTCTGATGACTGTAAGGTATTTAGGAAATGTAGCAATCTCCCCCTAAACCTCAGGTGCAGGAAACAACGCAGGGCACATCTGAGGAACTGTCCTTTGTTGTCTGCTGCCCTTCCTTCTCTCAGCTGCTTCAAAAAGAGCTCTTGTAGGTGGCAATGCAGTGCAGTCCTTGCTTTCCAAAGGCCACTTTGGTTTGGAAGTTGATCGTATGTTGCTGCTGGTTTTTACACTCTGCTATCAGTCTCCATGTGCATGATTCTTTTACAAACTGTATCTCTGCCTCTTCACTTCTAGGCTTTTTTATGTTAAATTAAGGATTATTTAACATTTTCTGATTGAATCCATTGTCCTGTCCTTTGCACTGTGCTTTTGCCAGCATTGCTTTATTGCTGCTTATGCAATCTCTTTCAAAAGCTCTGTGATTTTATCTTGCTATTTGATATACTCAATGGCTCAAAGATGATGAAAGATTTCCAGGAGCTTGGTGATGTGATAATTTCTCCTTGATTCACAGCTGGAGGATGGTAGTGTCACCTCAGCAGCGTAAACACAGTTTCTGGGCTTCTGCATGTTCTGTTATTGGTGCTGAAAGATGTAGTTTACTATATGCAAAATGTTTTTTCTTTTTAGTGTTGTTTTGCCTTTCTGTCTGGGTAATCTCGTTTTGGTCAAGGGGGGCCCTTTTTCACAAATTTCACTATGGTAAGTAAAATGGATTATCACATTCAAATTTCCATCAGTGATCGTGGTGATCTTCCTTATAGATGCTTTTCATAGACAAGCTAGAACAATCTATGGGTTTGTTAGTGATAGCGAGCAAAAAATTCTCTGGAATTATTAAAACAAGGGTAAAAACATTTGACAAAAGAGTCTCTTAATCTGTTTATGTACTTTCTGAGAACCTACATTGTTTCCTATTTTATTTATAGGTTGTCTTTTTCTGTATGTACTTGTTCACAGCAGGGACTTGTCCATACTGGAAGGTTCTTCTGATAAGGGCATATCTTTTTGCACGTTTGGAAAATACTTTAAAAAAGAAAGCAGTGAAAGAAAAGAAAGAGTCAAGCTGTTGTAGTGTGGAGAACTTTAGATAGCCTCAACATTTCATTTTAGTTCTATATTATTACCACTACTTATATATAAAGGAGGAACACAAATAAAAGGTTTTGCCTTTAAATCTTTGGTAGCTTTTAAGTCATATGCTCACAGGATGTTCCTTTTTGTCTTTAGTGTTGCTATTATTTCATTTTTGTTACTAGTTCAATCTTAGTGCTTTTTATAGAAATCCTGCTGGCTATTACAATATGCTGTATTCTTAACAGCTGAAAATTTTCCCTTGTGATTGATATTTTATTTCTTTCACAGTCACTGTGTTCTCAAAAATGTAGTATGTCTCTTTGGACGGTAATACTAAGGTACTTGAAAAATACAGGTGAACTATGAGTACTTTATCCTCTTGTAAATTTGCATACATTGAATTCCTCTCTGGCATATTTTAATTTGTTGGTTATTAAATACTTAACTGTGCAAATATTTACAAACCAGAGAAGATCCATTCTGTGGACAAGAATTTTTCCTTTCTGGGCTTATTTAAAGAGCCTTCAGAAATTTTTGTTTTGTGATGCTTTCCGCTACTGTGTTATATGGATGATGTAAAGTTTATAATTTACCGAACAACCTAAAAGGAAGTGGCAATTTTAGGACCTTTTTTATCTTTTTCCTATATATGATGCACAGTTTAATCGTTAATGTTTTTGTGTTGATACAGCATCCAGTATGCTATATAACATTGCTGTTTCCAAATCAGAGCAAAATAAGGACGTTTATTACCACAGCTACCAGCATTACTCAGCCTGCAGAGTATCTGAATGTTTTGACACAGTGTACTGCTTCTTGTTAAGCTCAGCACATGCCACATTTCAAGTACAGCCGACATTCTTTCACTCTCTCTCTGTTATTGTTTTCCTTTTAATCAGGCCTCCGTGATATATATCAAAGTGACTGCCTAGCATCAGAATGAAGACAAACTCTGTGAGCCGCCCGTGCTGCTGTATATTTTAGCAAAACTGCGAGACTTTTACAATAGGCTGGAGCTGCTGCATTCAAAACAGACCTGGAGAAAATGTATTCTCACTTTTGTGTCTGTGCACCGAAAAATTAAAACATTTCCCCTTAATTCAGTGTCATTCTGATGCCATGCCTCAGGCAACTGCTAGAGTTTATTCTCTTGATCTATTTAATAATCTCTTCCCATCGCTCTTACCAGAAGTTTTTGTAAGAAGAGAGGATCTGTTTTCACCTAGGATTCTGTGCTCGCTCTTCATTCCTACTTCATCTCATAACGTTCTAGTGAAATCACAATAATTACTAAATAAGTTTGTATTAGACCCAGCAAAGGCACCAAGGACTCTTAAGGCAGCAGTGACCTTGCCTGTGAAGTTTAAAACCTCTAGCACTCTCCTAGCGCACACTTTTGTGCAGGATAACTTTTTTGTCATTTGGATGTGACAGCCGTGGGTCGAGGCTTTTGTGCCCTACAGCCGACAGGCAGTTTACAGGCTGGTAATTACTGCCCATCAGCTGCCCGTTATCATTTCTATCACTTTCTGAGCCAGAATCAGAGTTGTCCCTTCTGTGATTATCCCAGTCTCCTACCGCATGAAGTCCATTTGATTGGAATGGTTTATTTGTTGGTACCAAAATGGAACAGCATTTTTCGTATTGCTTATAACAGCTGGAGGGCACGATAAGAGCATCTGCCAACGAGGCCTCCTGCCTCTGTCTAGAGCTGAGGTGCCTCAGCCCCTTTGGGATGAGCAGGCTCAGATCCCCTCCAGGCTGCGGGCATCTACAGCTGTTCTGTCGCCTTAAGGGCTTTGGTCACTGCAGTCTCCTGCGAGATGGAGCACAGGGGTTTAAATCCCCGCCTGCAAAGACACTCCTCTGCATGTTGT